TTTGATCTTTCTAATATCCCTAAGGCAAACTAATGTTTAGAATTAGGCCAAGTAAAGATTTAACTCAGAAAGTAACAAGCTATTTAAGGATACGTGTTATTATTTTATAGCTTTATCTTAATAATAAGGTACAATATTTTTACCTTTGACAACCATGTCGCCAAAAACACAACAAGAAGACGCATAGTGGGCGTAGCGCGTTTTTCAAGATTTAATACCAAAGAAACCTAACGTCTACACTAACGGAATTTTGGATATCAGCCGTGGTATTTCAGGCAGCCGTCGGTCGCTTGTTAAAGTTAACTATAAAACTTGAAAGTTAAAGGTGATTGTAAAAATAATTGGTCGTTAGTATTTATGGTTATTTTCTAAGACCATTAGTAGACTTGCTTTGATTTGATCGTTTAGTAGTTATTTTGAATTTTCAATACTTAATAGAAATACCTACAGATAGACTGCCGCGCCGATAGGTTATCTCGTTGTTTTAGTTGGTTTTAAAAATTAAGTATAAAATAAGAAAATAAGCTTATCTATACTAATATAATAATACGACACGCTTTAAGTTGTATATTTTTCCGCTATTAAACTTTGGGGATAAATAAATTGAACAAAAACCTTTATGTGAGAAAGGGACCATAAACTAGAAGCTGCCAACTTCAAGTCATTCAACTTCAGTCATTACAAACCATGAAAACCTTGCCTCCTTCATATGACATAATGATGTCATATCATTTTGACATTTGCAATTCATAATTTGATAAATGTATACAATATTTTTTTATATAATTTCATGCGGTTGTAGTCGCATGGGAACAGTTAAATTTTATAAGGATGATAGAATAAAATAATGATTTTCATAAACATGTTTATTAGAAAAATCAACGGAAAAATATTTTTTTTATTTTATGATTAATAAATAAACTCAAAAACATCAATAGTTTTTTGGCAAAAAATCACATACAATATGGAATCATAATTATATATATATCTTTTTACTTTATCCACTAATCATTTTCTATATCACATTTGCTACACAGCATTATTTATGTATGTTTAATTATAATATGAGGTACAATGAACACATTTGTCAATCAAGAACAACATATGGCTAGTTATAAAAAAAAGAAAGAAACTAAAAGTTTTAACAAAATCTATTCCCCTTTGTTCTTAACATTGTTTTTAACATTGATAATTGAGAAAAAGTAATTATTAAACAAAAAAAATATGGAATAAAAGTGAAACATCATCAGATACAAAAAAAAATAAACATTTACATCTTAACATTACTGCCTTATTATTTTGTACTTCGTAGAATAAAAGTTAATCAGTCATTTTTCCTTATGATACTGTTACTACTACATTACATTTTAACAGCAACATATTATTAGGGTAATTTACCTAAATTAAAGCTTTAAGGAATAATATCACAATTGGAGATCAGTCATTTCCATAAATATTATGTATCATCTATCTTGTATAAAATAATGTTAACTATTTTAAGTTATAATAACTCTGGGTACTATTATTATTATTTATATATATTATTTATTTATTTATATTATTTATTTATTTATATTATTTATTTATTTATTTATAATTATTTTTTTAATCCTCCGTTTCTCCTTTATCCATGAAGATATCCATAACCCCCAAGTCTTCAGGCGATATCTAAAATAAAAATGTTTATTGTTGGTCCATTCATATAATTTATTACAATCTACTTATGTTTTTCAAAACTACTAGGTTACACACATCTTTCACATGTAACTGATCTTTGAATGATTTTGCACAAATTAATAACTAAAAATAAAGTCTGAGTTTATTAAGAAATTGTATGGATGGGAAAGGTAGAGGATGACCAAAAAAGTATGAATGAATTGTATATTTGGGTGCTTAAGGCAGTGGTTTCCGATATGAGGAGTGATAAGAGCATTTACAGCACTGTGCCAACCCCTTGTAGGAACAAAGGGAGGTTGATAATAATGAAACACAAATGGTAGATGAACAGTAACAAAATACAACTTACCAATTGACTTTCATCGTCGGATAATGGAGGTGATAGAATTCTATATTCCTGAACATCTCTTTGGAATACCGCAGGATCCAATTCATCACTGCTAGATAAAGGCTGATACAACTGAAAATTTATGTTAAATATTTACTAAGTATTTCTGTTGTTCGGTTGCATATCTAACAAGCAATATTTCAGGGATTATAATGGGTTGCCTACATCCCTCGCATTACCCACATAATCAATATTAAATTTTTTGGTTATTCATTTCACATACAAGATCTTAATGCTGTTGCCCCTGAGTTCGTCCGCTCAGTCATAAAAAGAAAACTAGATTAGCAGTCTTTATCTTTTACCTGACTGTATTCTATGTCAAAATGTCCATCGAGTCATTCTAGAGATATTTAGTAATAAAAAGTAATCCAAACGTTGACATCTTAATATTTGCAAGATATACAGTTGTCATCATGTAATTAAGAATTATGCTGTTTTTAAAAGATTTTTAAACACTTAATAATGGTACTTATATATATTAATCTTTATTAGTATTGTTAAACCTTTATTAACAAACTTATATATATTATCAATATATGTATGTAAAAAACATGCATGATTGTGTAAAATGAAATTGTAACTACTTTTGGCTCATCATTTACTAAAAAGGCTAAGTTGAAAACATTTTGCACATGTTAAGTAAGTGGGTACAAGACTTAGAAAAAGCGAACTTACTATTTCCAGGTCCTCATCAGCCGATGGTGGTGAAGGTGGGTTGTAGATTAGGTACGGCTGTAAATATTCAGACCTACTTGCATCATTTAACATTGTCTCGCTAAATGATGTGTCCTCAATGGTCTGGAAATGTTATTTATTGACAATACAAAATCATCATATCTCATTGTTATGTGTCAGTTAGTTGGCATTATACTTTTAAATTGGATAACATTTTCATTGTAATAACAATTGTACAACATAGACATAACAGCTACAATAAGGGAGGTTTACTATTTTCAAGGAATTATTTCATTACATTTTAGTGTACTGTTTTTTCAACAAATATTGATTTGTGTATTTTTTTTAGAATTTGGTTATGTTTTTTTATTAAAAATTGTAACTACTTTTGGCTCATCATTTACTTAAAAAGGCTAAGTTGAAAACATTTTGCACATGTTAAGTAAGTGGGTACAAGACTTGGAAAAAGAGAACTTACTATTTCTTGCTCCTCAGCAGCCAATGGTAGCGAAGATAAGTCATAGATGAAGAGTTGGTTCGGTTGTAAATATTCAGACCTACTTGCATCATTTAACATTGTCTCGCTAAATGATGTGTCCTCAATGGTCTGGAAATGTTATTTATTGAAATTATAAAATCATCATATCTCATTGTTATTCTCCATTCTTCTATTCTGCGATGTTTAGAGTCACTAAATATCGCGAAATAAATGAAATTTCTAATAAAAAAAAACAAAATTGACTTCCAAACAAAATACACATATCAAAGTATTCTGAAAAAAAAAAGAATACCCTAAAAAATAACGAAATAATTGCTTGAAAATAGTAAACCTCCCTTATTGTAGTTGTTATGTTTATATTTTACAATTATTATTACTTTGAAATCGGTGTCAGTCAATGAAGATTCATTACTTAATCATTACTATACTTACAATTGTCAATTGTTATGGTAAAAATGTATAAAGCCTTACATAGAATTATAAATATCACTGCATACCTCGGCTGATACCAACATCAAAGTAATAATAATTGTACAACATAGACATAACAGCTACAATAAGGGAGGTTTACTATTTTCAAGGAATTATTTCATTACATTTTAGTGTATTGTTTTTTCAGCATATATTCATTTGTGTATTTTGTTTAGAAGTTGGTTTTGTTTTTTTATTAAAAATTGTAACTACTTTTGGCTCATCATTTACTTAAAAAGGCTAAGTTGAAAACATTTTGCACATGTTAAGTAAGTGGGTACAAAACTTGGAAAAAGAGAACTTACTATTTCTAGGTCCTCAGCAGCCAATGGTAGCGAAGATAAGTCATAGATGAAGAGTTGGTTAGGCTGTAAATATTCAGACCTACTTGCATCATTTAACATTGTCTCGCTAAATGATGTGTCCTCAATGGTCTCCTGGAAATGTTATTTATTGACATTACAAATTAATCATATCTCATTGTTATGTGTCAGTTAGTTTGTTAGTTGGCATTATACTTTTAAATTGGATAACATTTTCATTGTAATGTAAGTTTTTGTTAAATCTTAATGCTTAATACATGCTCGCTAGTATTCTAAATAAAAAGTGTAAAGTAGACAAAAATTGCTTACCTCTGCTGTTACAGTATATGCATTTAATACATTTTGAACTTCATCCGGGACATGAAAAGGGAAAGTAAGGTCTGTTTGTACTCCTGCAAAAATAAGTGGGAAACATTAATTATTACTGCTCTAAATAAAACTACAAATTTAGATACCAGTTAACTTACCAAATTCTACAGTTTTTACATTGCCGTAAGCCAATACACTAAAAACAAAAAACAATATGTGCACAATTAATACAATTATATTACTGTTAATATTATTAATAGTCAACTGTTTAGTGACAAATTCAACTATTATGCATAACACAAATGTAATTTTATTTAAAACAGTGTGAAGATATAAAGATATTTTATAGTAATGATCAAGATGAGCCAGCGCCATGCATACCCAATATGCTGATGCTGTCGGCTATGCATTATTTCATTTATTTTAATGACATCGATATTATTTTACTAGCGATACTAACCTGCTAGATTTATCTGCCTTTACATCCATAGGTTCTTGAATGGGAGAAGGGAGCTGCGCATTTGCGGTGAGGGTTTCACAGACTACCGCTGACCCACTTTCTTTCAACGCTGCTTCGGTTAGGTCACTCATTTTAAATTTCTCCGCTATGAATACCCCACAAACTTGATTTAACAAGCTCAGCAAGAAAAATACTGTATTCGAATATGAATAAACAATAACTTGAATATTATAGGAATTAATGAATAACGTGGAATTTTGGAGTGAATAGAATATAATACAGTGATACAGAGACACAGAGAAGTCCAGTATGTCAAAGAGCATATAAGTACGAGTTGAGACTTAGAACAAAGAATAAGTACGGTCTGACACCTGCCAAACTCAATTCTCGTGGCAAAAAGTTACCAGGATAAAAATATTTAATTTAAATTTTTCTGACACAAATATTAAACATGTGCACCAACTAAGTGGTGCTTATTACAACACATCATCATCATCTCCTTATCCTACTCCCGTAGGGTCGGCGCAACAGGTTATTAGAACACGACAATGAAAAATAAATCTAAGGGTGAGTTGCATCAAATCGCCGGTTATCGTAAAAGTTATAGTTAATAGGGCTACAAGTGCAAAAACATATTCTCACAGAGGTTTTATGTGTTTTTTGTTTTTACAATGGAAACATTTAAACCTGAATGTCACTAAAGTGTCAAGTTGGTGTCAAGAATGACATTTATGTAAATTAAAATGTTTGGAAATTCATGTTTCGCCGATTATAGTTATGTATCATACGCATGGTATTTTATAGTGACATAAACTTTTTGCCCACGGAGATGGAAAAAATGGCAAACTCTTGTGAAAATAAACTAGTTTGGGCCATTTTTGAAACTGTATTTACTTTAATACTCAAATATGTAGCGCCAAAAATGAAGCAATAAAATTATACAAATATAAATGCATCTTATTTATTTTCCATATTATAAATTGTCCTGTCAATGCATATTATAAATTGTCCTTTTATGGAGGACATTTTTTAAATAAGAGAAAAGGGACAAGCGCTGTTGCTATGGCCTTAGACACTCGAAATTTGTCCAAACTGAATGTTTGACCAAATTTCGAGTTCCATCTTGGAAATCCATTATTTCCGAGCACGCAAGACTTTATTCTTCTGGAATACGTATAGGATAATAGTAGAGATTTTCTTTTTCCATTACTTTTTCCATTATTTGTACTTTTGAAAATAATTTGAAGATATTTTGAAGATTGCGGTGTCT